CTCACCGTACCATTCCCCCCCCACCATGTATGGCAGCAGAAGCCCACCAACCAATCCTTATGCGTACTCCCCTGAAGCCGCCCCTCCACTTGCCGGATCATATCCTGGAGCTCCCATGAACTATCCTGCATACGGGGGTTATGGCAATGGTATGGTACCAGCTTATCAGCAGGCTTACTACCGATAGATAATGACAGACTCTTGTGAAGATGGTAACCACTGATATGATGACTCATCCCCAAATCTCATCCTCTTTTTATAATGGCTTGTTTGTAATCACTAACCGTTTAATGGTAGCGATGTCTGTGTGTGTTAATCATAATATTTTTCTCATGCTTCTTGCCATCTCATGGCGTGAAGCTGTATTTCTAATGTTGATCAAACTCTAGTAGTACTAGGTGATTGTGAAAAGTTGTTAGGATGACTGAAAAACATCAACGCAAGGTACCACTCTACTGTTATTCAGTTTAGTTGTAGGACTGTTACTCTTCTCTATGCTGCTCTTTCTCCCTCTTTTATTCTTGATTGTGTTCAAATTGAACCAAATGTCATTGCATGCTTTATCTTTCAGGCATGAAATTCGAACTTTTGCTAGGCTGAATATTTCTAGGGCCTTGATCAGTTTACACAACCATAAGCAAAAGTTAAACTCCGATCCCAAGTTGTAAGGTGCAGCACATCAGTGGGATTGATCTCTGCAGGTGGTTAGGTTAGCTATGAGATGTTCTTGTTTGTTTCAAGTTAAACCTTGAAATTAAGATATAATGAGCAGAAAAGCCTCTCTTTGGAAATCAAATTTCATTTTGTTTAGAGAATTCTTCTACCAAAATCAATTTCACGGCTTTCCTTATGCATTTTTATTCCTTGAATCCATACAATTTTCCTTCCCCGTTATATGTCTCAACTCTTAAGTGATTTGGTCATCCAATTAATCTGTTAGTCAGTCAATAGTGTCCAGTGTAAAAGGACTTGACTTGCGGATAAGTGATCTCAAGTTTGAAACCTCATGGCAACTTATATACACGTGAGAAAACTCCCCTTTCCTTTCCTAATTGCGGCAACCAAAAAAAAATCTGTTATCAGAAATCTTTCCAACGACAAATACCGAGTAAGTAAGCCGATTGTTTTCTTCAACTATTGAAGAGTTATTTGTGTTCTCTTTCTTAACATTTTAAATGGGCCATGCTTGGCACAAATTTTGGTTTTAGAATCTTTTTTTTCTTTTGGCACGGTTTGTGCATAGACGAAAGCGGCTCGTAAATTCAAGTTAAAATGGCGGGTTTATGAGGTATAGCTCAAGTGGCATGAGTGGGATTGGTGGATCAGAGAAGATAAATAATCAAAATGTATAGGGTCGTCCATCCTTCACGACCACGAGTTTCGTTCTCATCATTTGACAAAGAAAGCAACTTCCTTCGTCCCGGTTTGATCAGCTACCACTGGCTTACCCATTTGTAAGACCTGAGTTGGGTCCTATGATCAACCAATGACCAGTTTTCCCCATGCAACGAACCTAGCACACTTGAGCGTCAGTGTCAGTGGGTTGGAGAGAGAGAGAGAGAGAGAGAGAGAGTGCTCCATTTCAGCTGGTTGGGACGACAGTTACGAAGAAAGGATAGTTTGGGATAGCGTAAACGAGGTATAGCAGTCCTTGCCGACTAACTGTTTGATGCTTTGCTCCTTACAACAACAACTCTCTTTGCTCAAATCTAGATATAATACTTGACCCCCGTTAGTCTTCGAAATTGCACGGCTTGGTCTTTACTACTTTTTAGTGGCGTTCTCAACTGACCTCCGTGATGTTCTTCAAGAGAGGAATCACATTTGCTTCAGTAGTATATCCGCATTTCCTTTCGAGGGCTCGTAGTTATGGCCCCAAGTCCAACACCACCTTTCCCATTCTCCATCGTTCTGAACAAGTTTCTAATTATTCGAGTAGCTTTCATCTTTCTCCGCTGTTTCCTTCCGATGCTAAACCTCATTCCGACAGCTATGATATTGAGCTTGTTGACCATGATGCATGGCGGGTTTCATCGGGTTTGGCACTAGCAGGGCGTGGAACGGAGGGGACGGCGTTGGAATCCAGTTACTTATCGGAGGAATTGGTTGATGAACCGGTTGATAATTGCTCTCTACCTGTCGAGGGTGACCCGGATTTTGATGACATTGATAATATGAGGATTCGAGGCAGTCTTTTCTATAAACTCGACCGCGATTCCAAAGAGTATGAAGAGTATAATTTCGACTTTCATGGTAGGAAGAAGCCTTCTAAGCAGAAGGATGATCCAAAGGAAATTAAAAGGAAGAGTAATGAGCTCAAAGAAAGCAAAACAGACAGCCCAATTCGGGATTTATTCTCTAGAAGTGAAAAACAAGGTAGAATTGCCAACAATTCTCAGCTTGATGAAATGGACACTGCTTGTGTTGGGAAGAAGAAGCTGAGGACTCCGACTTATAACCAGCTAACAGGTCCTTTCCATGAGCCGTTTTGCCTGGACATTTACATATCGAAGGCGTCTGTTCGTGCTTGCATTATTCACCGAGTGACCAGTAAGGTTGTTGCTGTGGCCCATTCCATATCAAAAGACATGAAATTTGACCTTGGTTCGACTAGGAATGCAGCTGCTTGTGCTGCTGTTGGGGCAGTTCTGGCTCAGAGGGCATTGGCTGATGATATCCACGATGTAATTTACACACCAAGGAAAGGGGAGAGATTGGAAGGCAAGCTTCAACTTGTGCTTCAGTCTATCATTGATAATGGCATTAATGTGAAGGTGAAGTTAAAGCAAATAACAAGGAAGAAACCCAGTTCCTCATATTCAGCTTAGGAGCACATGGTTTGCTATTCTGATCAAGCCAATCTTGCTACAATAAGCTCCGAATGTTTCATTTAAAAAAAAAAAACAAAACAAAACCGTGTTTGTGATTTCTACATGGCTGGATGTTCTGGGCTGTTGTGGTGGTGAATTCAATTCATTTTATGAGATATAAAAGCTGGCTTAGCCAATTCAACAACAAAAGTTCTCTGCTTTGAAATGACTTTCCGGGGAGCTAAGCAATCAGCCTGATGGTGTAAGATACAGGCAAACATGGCACTTTATCGTGTTCATCGCAGGCACTTAATTCCCTAGCATTGTTAATACAAATTTAGGATCATCTTGCCATATCTCTTGTGGAACTATTGGTCTAAATTTCTTTCTTTGTAATCTATAAATTATAATGATAATTTTTTTTCTCTTTCTGCATTGTGTATGTGCAATATGTCATTATTTGGAATGAAGCCGGAGAAATTATTGCACCCATAATCTGTTTAACTTAAATAGATTCTGTCACTACGATCTGCCATTTCACTAGGAGGAGAAAAAGCAATAAACTTAAGGTATATATATACATAAATTGCTCCCTCCAGGTAATAACCAATCCATTCAAAGGCCTATCCAATCATATGACTAAAACAAAACACAAACTGATAGCAGCAGCACATACCATTTATAATTGATAAAACAAAACTAAAGGGCAGGCCTTTTCAGTTGTATTCAACAAACCATAACTCAATACAAACATGGGTCAAATCAAAAACCCAGTTGCCAAAATCCAAAATTTCAGTCATTAGCTGTTGCTAATTGCAGAGATAGCAGCTCATCTTCTGGAATGGTCCTAATGTGACAATCCGACTGTGGGTACGATACACACAGCAAGGTATACCCACCTTCCACCACATCATCACTCAGCATACCTTCACTCTGATCAACCTTCCCACTCACAAGCCGTGCAGGGCAAGTCATGCACACCCCAAGCTTGCAATCATGCGGCACAGATAGCCCAGACTCCAATGCCTTTTCTAGAATGGTCTCATCAGCCTCCACCTCAAGCTCAGTAGACAAACCCTCGTGCTCTACCACCACCTTGTAGGATCCGACGGTGCAGGATCGCCGTGACAGGTGGCGGGGCCGGATATTGAGCTGGAAGGAAGCAGAGAGTCTGGTTGTGTGTCGTTGTTTTGGGAGAGTGAAAGAAGGAGATGGAGTGAAGTGAAAGGCCGCCATAGTGTTGGGTTTTTTGAGGTGGGAAATGAGGGGAAGGGTTTTGTGGCAATGCAGCTAACTATGCTAGTGACGTTTATGGTAGGGGGAAAGGATAAGGTTTTGTAAAGTTGGTGTCTTGTTTTGTGGTGGTTTATAGGGGTTTGGGTAAATTGGGTTTGGAAACAAAACAAAAAATCTTACTGGGTTTTACATTTAAGCCAGAGCCCATGTCATCCAGTGTGCAAATTTACAAGGAAAAAAGTTGAAGTGGAAATGACAATTTGTCAAACCAGACAACTCTTTCACATTTCATAGTCTATGGCGCATTGCATAATGTGAACTTTTTTTTGTACTGACATAAATTTGTCAAATTTGGAATTTGGAAGCTCGTGATCAAATCCATATCACATACCGTGTTTGCCCAAAACAGTTGCAGGGCCAGAAATCGGGCTAGATTCAATATAAGGCCCCCCCAAAAACTAGTATTTATGACGTCATATTTCAGATTCACGTATATATATAGAGATTTTCTATTTAAACCCTGCACTTCTCTTTGTTCACCCCAATACTTAAATCATTAAGCTGTAAGTTTTATTATTGTGTAAAAAGACAAAAAAGGTCATCGAACTTAATAATTAACCCTAGTGCACACACCCTACACACTCCACCACTCTTCATATTAAGTTTTAGAAATCTCCTTCCAACTTCCTGTTTACAAACTCTCTCTCTCTCTCTCTCTCTCTCTCTCTCTCAAGTTCTCAACTCAACAATACCCCAAGTGTTAGATATTAAATTTCGGATTTAGGGTTTCATTTGTTTGTGTTTTTTTTGGTTGGGAACAAAGAAAATTGTGGGGTTTAAATAGAAAATCTCTTTTAATTCTTATTTTTTCAGTTTGGGGTGTATTTAAGGGTATGTTGGGAAGATAGTGGGGTTTTCTTAGAAATTGTGAAAATTTAAATTAAAAGTTGGGGTGAACTTAGAACATGAGGTGAATTAAGAGAAGTGTGGGGTTTAAATAGAAAATCTCTATATATATATATATATATATATGTACGATAGTTGGTTCTCGTAGCTCCATTGCTTCATCTTCTTAACAGGTCTCGCGGTCATCAGCTGTGCGGTGGTGCTTCTGTTAGTGTCCAGGTGATATCCTCCGTCTTAATCTCTTAATTAATTGTTAATCGTACCTCTAGAACTCATCTCGTTTCACCGATCGCGTCCGCGATAAGCTTATGATTCTGCAACTGAACTCGTTTCTGGGGTTTTCAGAACAAAACACGTTAAAACCAGCAACAAAATCCACTTTTCTGATCATAATCAGATAACGAAATTCATAAAAGAAGGGAAATTAAAACATATCAAAGAATTTTCGTTAATCTTTTATTCAATTCCCAATTGATAGTTGGTTCCTTTTCTTGTGTTAAATGATTGTTTTAGACTTTTCTGTGTTAGGTGGATTTATTTATAAAAAAAACATTTTAAAGAAAAATAACTTTCTTATGAAGAATTAATTTGTTTGTTTGTTTTTACTTGCAGTAATCTGCACAGAGAAACAAAAATGGCAGTTGAGAAGGCTGGCATAGCCAAAGATGTTACCGAAGTAAGTTATCCTGGTTTTATGTACACTAAAATGAGTTGGAGTTGAGTGGTTTGTGTATGATGATATAAACCTCTGTTTCATTGTGTATAGTTAATTGGAAAAACCCCATTGGTGTATCTGAACCATGTTGTGGACGGTTGTGTTGCTCGTATCGCTGCCAAATTGGAAATGATGGAGCCCTGCTCTAGTGTAAAAGACAGGTATAGACTTTGAGTTGCATGTCTTTCTACTTGGTCTTTTTTCTTTTGTTAATGATTATGCTTACTGGTTTCAGGGCAGCGATGACTTGAAAATATTGTGTTTTAATGATTTTTTAAAGGTTCCTAATTATGGGGAAAAAAATGCAGGATTGGCTATAGTATGATTGCAGATGCAGAGGCGAAGGGGCTTATTACACCAGGGCAGGTTGGTTGTTTGATAGTTACGTAGGAGTGTTATGTTTTGAAGAACTTGTGCATGAAAAAGGGGAGGCGGTTTATGTTTTGAAGAACTTGTGCATGAAAAAGAGGAGGCAACCGCCTCCCCCATATTCTATGCTTAGTTTCTCCACTAGCATGTTTCTTTTTTCAATTGCTATTGATGAAAAAGATGCAACCATGCTTTTAGCATGGGATGTTTTAGCTAGAAACATAAGTGGTCTGCAGTGTCTCTGAAATTGTGAACCCTTTAATAATAGTCTGAATTTTGTATAACTACCACATTGTTTGGTTTCACCAATTTTTTGAGCATGCTAGATGCATGATTTGAGATTTTGATTTGATGGAAATTGTGAGCTGACAGATATTACTTTGACTTTGGTTGGTCTGTGTTTGCTGAAGAGTGTCCTCATCGAGCCAACAAGTGGTAATACTGGAATCGGGTTAGCCTTCATGGCAGCAGCTAAACGCTACAGGCTTATCATTACAATGCCTGCTTCAATGAGTCTTGAGAGAAGAATCATCCTCCGGGCCTTCGGAGCTGAGTTGGTTCTCACAGATCCTGCGAAGGGCATGAAAGGTGCTGTCCAGAAGGCTGAAGAGATATTGGCTAAGACACCTGATGCCTACATGCTTCAACAGTTTGAAAATCCTGCCAATCCGAAGGTGTTTGCTCAATAAATTCCATAGCATATGTAGTTGATGCAACTGAAAAACAAAAGTGGTCTTGTGTTTGGAAAAAAGTTATGTGATTTGTGTTATTGTAGGTGCATTACGAAACCACCGGACCAGAGATATGGGAAGGTTCAGGCGAGAAAGTAGATGCTTTTGTTTCTGGGATAGGTACAGGTGGAACTATAACAGGTGCAGGGAAATTTCTAAAAGAGAAGAACCCTAACATAAAGGTTAGCTTTGAGTCTTAGCTTGAACAATAGTCTGTATTTTCTTCCCGTTTAAATGCTCTTTTACTTTGTCTTATTGTTTTTCTTTTCCTTAATGTTAGCTGTATGGTGTGGAACCAGTTGAAAGCCCTGTCCTAACTGGAGGAAAGCCTGGTGAGCTATACTGCATTGCTTTTCTGTGATTATTTGCATGCCTTGCATAATATAGTACCTGCAATTTATTTAGCGACCTTTTCCATAGTTTAGGCAAAAGATTATGCAAGTAATGAACTGTCTAATATGCTTCTTTGGTCTTAATGCATTAATAAGTTTTACTACTTATCGAAAAAAATGCACATTAACAAGGCTCATTTGTAAGAACCATTTTAGGGGAGTGGGTGAAGTTCGAAATGTGTGTTCTTTTATGAACATTCATTAGCGAAATGGAAATAATTTAAAGTATAAGCAACAGATGTTCATAACTTCATGTAGGATTTACAGTCTCAGGAATGTGATACTTTCTGATGGAGATAGGGCTGTAATAAACAGTTGAAGTACTAATCTCAGATGTGACTGACAGCGTAGATGGGAGTTTCTCTGAGGGATAATCAGTTACTACTTTGGTGGAATGAACCTTCTGCTTATGTTCTTTTAGTGCTAGAATGTTTAAAGAATCTTACTTTCTGTAGCGTCTGCCTTTCAACTTTAATTGGCTTCTGAATGATATACTGCAAAGTTTGTCTAGGAGATAATCCTTCTAGTGCTGAGCTTGGAAACCCAATTCCACCACATAGTGCAAATAATTTGGATTTCCTCAAGCTTATGCATAAACATACATATCTTCAAATAACTCTTAACTGATGAGTCTATTTATATATGGAGGTTGATTCTATTTTCTTTTTAGCTCCTTTTTGTTTATTCTAGTGTCAAAATTTAAATGTTCTTTTATTTGAAATAGAAGAAGGAAATCTGGTATTTGCATGTTGTTGATGTTAATTATTATACTCATTCTAATTTAAAGGTCCACACAAGATCCAAGGAATAGGAGCTGGTTTTATCCCGGGTGTTTTGGAAGTCAACATCATTGATGAAGTTATTCAAGTGAGGCTCAAATGCTTTTGTATTGATCTTAGTTCCTCATATTATATAAATCATGACATTTTCGTTTGTGATACAATCATTCCTCGTAATGATGCACAGGCCGGAAATATTGTGTTTGGTAGCGTTATGATGTCAAAAGTTATGAATGGCCATTGATTTCCGTGAGCTCATGTAAACACAACCATTTATTTGTCATTTGGAATGCCTGCGTGATACCAAAAAATGTCCAAACATAATCTAATATCAGTAACTGGGTGTCATGCACATTAAAATGCATGTTTACTACGTGCTTTGAAGCTATTACTTTTATGACTCCATCAATAGGGGAAAAAAACGTTGTTATAAAGTATAAGATAGAAAGCTCAAGGGCAGTTACACGTCGATTATTAGTTTGTCTTAACAGCTATAACTGCTTCCTGTTTACCAAATATCTGTGATGTCTTGCAGATATCAAGTGATGAAGCAATTGAAACTGCAAAGCTTCTTGCACATAAAGAAGGTTTGCTTGTAAGTTCTTAACCTAACAACCAGCTGTAGTGAGTTAGTATTTGTGTTTTTTAAAATTTCTGTCATATTTATGTATCAATCATTGTATGTCAGTCTTTCTATTGAACTTATTGCATTATCTTTCCAGGTCGGAATATCATCCGGAGCTGCTGCCGCTGCTGCAATCAGGATTGCAAAGAGACCAGAGAATGCTGGAAAGCTCATTGTTGTAAGTTGGATTTTATTTCTATTGACCTTGTGTTGGCATTTTATTCAACTGCTAATTTCTCTCTCCATCTACTTAAATGCGTTGTAGGTGATTTTTCCAAGCTTTGGGGAGAGGTATCTGTCCTCTGTACTGTTTGAGTCGGTGAGACGGGAAGCTGAAAGCATGACTTTCGAGCCCTGAGCTGTTCCCTTGTTTCTGGCTGCCTCAAGTTTCAACCAGTGACTCTGAATTAATCAGGCTTCTCTACTTAAAGTAGGATTATCCCCCTGTTTTTTCTTCTTCCTGTTTTAATCCGAAAACATGGTCTCTAACCTTTGAACCCTGATCTGTTCTCTGGTTTTAGGCTGGTTCATTGTTTTGTCTAGTGAATCTGTAGTGAGCACGCTTCTGAAGTCAA